TGTTTAAGCCTTGCAGTATCGGGTTATTGCATTAACGTATGGTCATTTATGTTTCAAAGTGAAAAATGAGAGTCCTGGCATTTGTGGAGCGCCAGCCAGGTCCATTTTTAAAGCAAGGCAAGATTCACTAAACATGTTGATAGCATTGTAACGCAGCCCATTTTACAAGCCACAGAGGGAATGTTTCCATAACTCTTTCTCTGGGTGATTTCTCTAAGGTTATTAAAGCCTTATTTAATTACTGGATCAAGAAGGTGGCCTAGTATTTACAACCAAAGCCAGTCAAGCTGGTCAGGGCCTCAGCAAACTTACCCCACCATGGGAAGTGACATCCACAAAAAGGTTATTTTGGAAGAGAGTAAGACTCACTCCTGTGTAGACAATTAGTGCGAGGCCTGCAAGCTACTTAACACCCTCCAAACGTGGAGTTTAGTGCAGTTATATTCTCATCCTCAACTGAAGGCTGCCATGGTATAAATGTTAAATGCTTGCGCCCTCCACACCCTAGAAAAGACTCATCTTCCCACTTACGTTATTTCAGTCTAACTCTACAGTCTCCATTTGCACAGAGGGCATATTTTAATAATTTATAAAGGGCTTGTAGATGTTTTAATCATGGTTATTCATTGCTAATGAGTTTTATATGTGGCTTACAATAGTTTATAAGTACTCATAACACCTCCCTCACATCCACGGCCAATTGCTGAGTGGGGGGGAGGGAGGGAGGGGGTCCCCCAGCAGCCGATCGCTGAGCCCAGAAATGTCAATGGTGGAACCAGCGGCAAAAATAGAAGTGCTGCTGGGGGACCGAATACCCTTCTGGAGGGCCCGGCTGGCACCCCCCTATCCCCCCAGTGCCCACCTCGTCAGTACGCCACTGCTTGAACCACTGGAGGCAGGTTTTCATTAGTGTGGGACTCACTTCAAGAAACTTTCCCAGTGATTTTCAAAACCTGGCCCTTTATTTTTATGTCTTAATGACAGTGAACCTTATTGAAAACCTGCTTTTGGGGTCCTAATGGCTCCTGAAAACTCACCGTGCAACGCCATGTGCATCATGTGTCTCCACTACCGAGTGTTAACAAAAGGTGCCAAACTGATCAACCTGGAGAATGATGCTATCTATCCATGCAGTAGGTACAGCATGGCCAGCAGCAGTTCAGGCTTTTCCCGTGCTGCCCCACCAATATGCTTTTATTCCTGAGCTGGAGCATATACACGTGGGAAGACTGTTCAGTCTCCAAGGCACAAAGCAAACCTTTGGCTCAGCTGCTGAAAAAGGTCAATGAGGCTATTTTGTAGTGCCAAGAGTGATGGGGGTTTGTGATGTGTACATCTGCCCAGGAGAGCCTGGACTAGCATCACCAGCTAATTGTTACACATTGCCACTAGCCAACTTGGGCTGGCTTCAGAGCAAACTGGATTCAAAACTAAGGCCTCGGGTGACAAGCTCGGTCAAGGCATTTCCATTGTTTTACCTGGTCAGGCAGATATTTAATTGAAATAATGAGGAAGTCAGGCATGATTCCAACCAAGGGACATGCAGCTGCAGTTCATTAAGAGACTGCTTTAAAAACACAAGTCACTCCTGTAATGCTGGGAATTGTACCTTTCAATGGTTTTGCACAGATTTAAGTTTGGGGGGCAGATCTGCAGAAGCGTGCAGTCTGTTAAGCAGAGGGAGCTGAAATGGTGTGAATTCCAGCACATTGGTGTTTTACGCTGGGGTAACACAATGCAACCATGGACCTTTTCTTACGTGAGCCCTATTACACATTCAACACAATTACATACAATCATGTATACACAGAAATATGTAATAACTCTGTGAATATGTACTTATGCACATACAGACAAATCACATACACACATACTATCTGTGTATAGATACCTAGTTATGTATACGGCATATAAATACACACCCTGTAGTTATGAATCATACTCTGCCCTGGAGTACACCTAGCACAATGCCGGACTGCAGAAGTCTATGCAGAACTCACCAGCCAGACTTATAAAACGTGATTTCACTCAAACCAGCTGCTTTGAACAGGCACCAACAATAATTGGGGGCATCGTTTTGAGATCATTAAGACATTTACCCTTAGTACCTGGCTGCACCTGCCAAGCAGTCCTGGCCAGCCAGAACAGCCTGGAAACTGGGCCCTGCCTCTCTGAATTAATACAGGAGAGTTTTCTGGGAAGCTGAACAACAGACAGGGAAAAGCAAATGCACAGAGAAGGGGAGAGCTCTTTTATTGCTGGTCTCCAAAATAAACTCCCTTCGCATATGAATGACAGCAAGAGCTCCATCTAGCCAACACTTGCTTCTGTGGCTGCTGACCCACAAAAGCTCCATTGATCCTTTGGGTTTTGCCGGTGTGTAGGCTTGTCACAATGGCATGCGTGATACAGGGTCCCTTTGGTTACAGGGTATGGCAATGAGGACAAAAACAGACGTACATAAATAGCTCAATAAATCGCCTACTAGATTTATTCTTGCGAACTGCAAAATTTAATAACACTGCGTTTTGTTATGTTATAATGCAACAAAAGATCCTCAGTTTGCAGAACAGAGCAGAATTCAGTCATCCATGACTGTTACCAAAGCACTTAAACTCATGCCCAAATGATTTATGGAATAGGACGAGGCTTCAGCAAATGTCTGAGTGCTTTGCTGGACTGT